ACCGGATTAGGTCAAACGTTGGAGGTACCTCCGGTGTTGGTCGAGAGGCTCTTTGCGTCGACAGTTGAGCAACATTTTTTTGCATTTCACCTAGTATGGAGTGTATAAAACAAATGAATGAAAAAAAAGAAAACTAATTAATGTGAATTAACTGGTTCTGCAGCATCCACCACGGAAGCGCAAGGCTTAGTTACTCCACTCAAGCCTCAGAGTTAAATCATCTCCTCAAAAATATATCAGGTTTATTGTGTTTGATGATTTGAACAAGTGAAAACACCCAACAAAACGGTTAAAAGCTTACTCTACGAAGTCGCCGGCATAGAATTCCACACCAATTCTAGATGAGAAAAAAAAACCACAGCTAATAGGCATCAAGCCTGTACTATGGTTGGAGCTTTCGAAAATGAAACTATCGAGTAAAGTTTCTATCGCGGAGAGAGCGCCAAGGCACTAGTTTTGGGCTTTTTCAACTAATGTCTGCTATACTACTCTTTTTCTACGATTTTTGAAGCAGGTTACTTTGCGTTGTGTATGATTCTAATTGAATGGAAAATGATTTCCATTTAAATAAATCAATTGCAATTCACTGAAAAGCAACCGGGTAGTTCTATGTATATTTTAAAAAAAAAACCTGAATTTTTTTTTGGACACCGAATAGTCCATGACCCTGGTCTGATTATTTCAGTTATCCTATGCTTCATGGGACTGCAGGGCCCATAATAAGAACATGAAGGGGGTTTTAGCAGAAGACTCGAAATAATTGAAATTATTGGTTCGTTTGCTTGTATCATCATACATTTAATTGTATCATTTACATATTTGATAAAAAAACAATTGAAATTAAATTGCGACTAAACTCAATGAAATGGAATTTTTTTCATTATTTGGTCAATAAATGCTGATTCTAAAAAGTCAATAAGATAAATTCCATGCATCAGAAATATTAAGTAATTTCAAATGCAATGTAAAATTGCACCCAATTTCAATTCAATCGCAATACATTTCAATTAGAAGTGTCCCTCCATTCCTTTGACAGGCAGCATGGCAACATGTGGTGTAGCGGTTGCAGCGCTTGCTCTATGATCGGGAGGTCACGGGTTCGATTCCCGGCCAGGTGACCCGAGTTTGATGGTCTCAAGAAACGGTTATCTGGGGCTGGCTTGATTAGGGACAAAGAAGGAGTGGGACTATAGAAATGGTAAGGCGCAGGCTTATCCCTCGTGGGATAATTAATTTAAAAAAAAAAACATCAAAAAAAAAAAACAAAAAAAACCACGCACAAGATTTCGATGCAGAATCAATAATTTTACCATGCAATTGAAACTTATCGCAGCCTGTGCTACTTGAGTTTTTATGGATGGGCAGACTGATTGTTGAAATTGCTGGACAAAGCTATAGACAAAGGAGACAAAAGGGATACGGAGGAACCCCATTGGTGGAAGCGGGTGGTTGCAATGAACAAAGAAGATAGATAATAGACTAACTAACGGCAACTCACGGGAGACCCTATAGTTAGTCCATCATTTTCTCCCTTAGTCTATAGGAACCAACCATTTCAACCAATGGGATTGCTCCTTACTCTCTACGTCTATAGCTTTGTCTATCAATTTCAATAATCAGCCCGCAGAGGGGTCTCCCTTTCCATGGAGCCCGGTGTCCATGTTTTCTCCATACTAAGGTACTTTGATCCCAAGTGCCTCTCACCCCGAACGGCCAAGTGCCGCGATGCCCATGTTAGGCGCTCGGCAGGGGCGTCGGGACGCTCCGATCGGAAGAGGAAGTATGGCGCGGCGGCGGGCGGGCGGGCGGGATGCGTTGTGGCAAGTCCCGGGCGGGCGGGCGGGCGGGCGGGCGTAGAGCTTTACTTCCTGCTTATGGAGTGGCGCGGCGGCGCAGCGCAATCTGTCACCGCTTGGCGCGCGTCAGTCGCGGTGGTATAAGCTCAAGCTCGTAACTTGCATCCTCGGCGGCGCACAGTGGACCGAATCAATCAGAGAGGTCAGACATAATTTTTTGGACCAAAACTGAAAATTTTCATATTAATTTAGTCACATGATAAATTTTAAGTGATGCTTATGGATGAAAATTTCACGAAGAAACACTGAAAAAAATTCTCGGCGTTTTTACCAAGGTCCGTCGTTACCTTTACCATCTCACTTTTTTTTACCAATTATTGGTAATTTTACCAAGACAGACCGGTAGGCTTACCTTAAAACCGGTATTTTAATATTTTTACCGTTTTTTCAGGTAAGAATACCACTTTTATTGGTAATCAATTCCCGGTAACTTTGCCATTTTATCTCGGTAATTCTACCACAGTCGATAAAAAATATTGGCGTTTTTACCGGGGTCCAGTAAAATTACCAAGAAAGTTAATAATTTTACCGAGATTTTTCGGTAAGATTACCAATTCCATAATTGGTAATTTTAGCAAGAAAAAACTGGGATCAAAAAGAACCCTGAATTCTTGGTAATTTTACCCTTTTCTTAGTAAATACACCGAGATTTTTTTTTCAGTGAACCGATGGAACCACTTTTGGAACTTCAAAATCTTGTATAAACGGAGTTATAAGCTTTAAAATTATTCAAAATTTTGTCTGACCTCTCCCATCGACTCGATCCAGTGTGCGGCGTCTGGCGGGACTGCGGACCGTAACCGCTCGAGCACCTGAGTCACTTGACCACCGGCCACCGGCCGCGGCTCCCGTTCGTTCACCCACCTCCAGCGTTGCTCGACTGCGCGGTTAAATACGCGTGCTTCATGCGGTTAGGTTTGTGGAAATATCGATTTTTATAACGATATGGCAACATTTTTGCATCCAGCGTTGCTCGATTATGTGATAAAACTTTTGTGGTCCACGTATACAAGAAACTTGATGCGTGTACGGATGACAAGAAATGACTATTGACACTATTTGGTGATCTCCCTCGCAAATCCCTATTCTTTCAAAAACTGTCTGCATGAAAAAATATCATGAAAAAAAAGTTTACAGTTTTCAAAAATGTCCAGGTTTTCCAAAAAATGTGAGATATCTTTTAAAAAAAGTCTAAGTATTTCAATAAACCTCCAGGTTTTTTTTAAAAACTGTGTAAAGTGTCCAAAAAAGTTTTGAGTGGTCCCAAAAATTTATTAACTTTCCAAAACAAAGTCTAAATTTACAAAAGAATGTCTACATTTTTCTCAAAATGTCAAAATTTGACATTCATATTCAACTTTTGCAAAAACATCTACATTTTTCAAGAAATGGGTTTTCCAAAAAACTGATAAATTTTACACGTATAAAAGATTTTATCATCTCTTCATTTCCACAAAATGTTCAAAATTTGTAAATTCCTCAAAAAATCTACATAACTCAATAACCCATAAAATACAGATGCGTCAAAAAAAATTATGTCACTAAATTCCCACAAAATGTAAAATTTAAAGAAATTTTAAAATAGTCTCAAAATGCACATTAGATCCGTGATTCTCGTAAAGCCCTTCATCTCAAAATGTAATCCGGATCAACTAAACGCTTTGACTCGCTCCGACATTGCTCCAAAACGGTTAATTTTGGAAAAATCCAAATATTTCAAGCAACACTCGCGAACTCCCTCTCGCTCGTTACTTATGCACAAGGCAATTGGAGGACTCGCCAATAAAACGGCAACTTTGCTCGCTTCAGCTGAAACCAGGGCCTCAATGTCCTCGCCTCCTTCCACCCCCCCCATGCTTCCGGCGTCGTTTACCATCCAGTCGTAAGTCATCCATCGGACAACTCAGACTAGGAAAGTTCGTACCGGTTACGGTCAAATTGCGGTAACCAGTCAGACCTAGATTTCATTCGCCATACCCCAATAAAGCACTACAAAAAATCGTAGAAATATCGAGAAAAAAACCGCCCGCGACCTTACCTAACCTACTCCAAAGTAACCTGCGGTCTGATTATTGAAATGTATGTCAACACGACAAGATACCGAAAATCGATTTATTACCCGGCAAAGGTTAGGCTGTATGGACCACATTTTGCATTAAGGAGCTGCAATTTCTGACTCATTTTAGAAACAACATATGTGCCATTGGGTTCCCCCTGCAAGAAAGGTGCTTTTACGGAGGTGTCGGAGACGGTAGTTCCTTATTGCAAAATGTAGTCCATATTTTCTCTTACCTTGCCGAAATAACGTGATAAGTTTTAACTATCAAGCTGCTGGGCAATCATCATGCCTGATAAGAGATATAAATGGACGGAGTTAAACAGAAAGGAACCAAGCCACATCGGGATTGAATCGCGAAAAAGAGGTTTAAAGTTTAGCTCCTGCATAAGAATCAATGTAAAAGATAAACTTCAAGTTCCATTTCTGCAAAATTTGCTCCAACCAAAACTTTGAATTTTTGGCGATAGATAGTAGAGCAGTGGTTGAGTTCAAAAGCACTCATAACTCAATTTTTTCCAAAATGTGAGTTGGTTCCTTTCTGCTTAACTCAGTCCAAATAGAGGCCCTCCACTAGAAGTACCTCGGAAAACGGTCTGTGTCAAGATTTTGCTGAAGGAAAGAGAAGAGTTGTTACTCACTGGCATAAAACCAAAGAACAGTTTGTAGATAGGTGGTATTGTTCCTAATCCATCGTATTATTTTTCAAGATGAGCCCCGCAGCGTATTCAGATTCATTCTTTTTAGGGCTCGTGTGAAAATTGAGTTACGCCCCTACTTTTAGCAGTGACCGCATATTTCTCACGAACTACCAGTCTCTGCATCTAATTAATCATTCTGCATGGGTTTCGTTGAGAATTTCATACTTCTGAGGGAAGGTGAGTGAAAGTCGGCATTTTTTTCAAATTGTTCATCTAAACTCAAGTTTTTGCAGAGATCTCGTAGAGATAATTTATTATCAGGATATTAAAACAATTATCTAACACTCCAGCATTCTTTCACACGGAGGTTTGGCTGTGTAAACTCACGATTCCCGTCACTATACAAATTTGCAATTACACTTAAAAATTAAGCTTTTCTCTACTCACCTTATGAAAAAATCAACATAATGCGGATCTGTGGTGAGTGTATTTGGAGTCGGTCATTTCAGACTCCTGAAGTGAGCTCCTGAAACAGAAGCAAAAGTAAAAGGCATTAATTCTCGTTTCCGCCACTTTTATGCAGCTTAATAATTTTGGACGTATTTCTGCCAAACGGAACTATGTGCATTATAACGTTAGCCCTGTAATGCATATATTCTTATGGGTCTCAGGGCTCATGTCTTAATTCACATAATTACGGTCGGCAGATACGTCCAATTGGGCGTATTTCTACCAAACAGATCTATGTAGAGGTGAGACAGATGCGGTGTGTTCGTGGCGAGGTGGATAAGAAAAAATGTGATGAGTGGGCGTGATTCCATTTGGTGAAATGGAAAAGCGGGATTTTAAATTCAGTAAACAGAACCCATGTGCCAACTAAATGCGGCATTCATGAGCCGTAAGCATGGTAAAAGAGCGTCATGGGAAGGGCTCATGAGTTAAAGCGGAGGAAGGGCGACAACGGAGATGGCTTCGTTGTCGATGACGTCACTGGCGCTTCACACTGGAAAAAAAAAACACATTGGATCTAGAGTTCAGACTCTTAAAAACGTCGACAAGAAAAAATACTCTTGATTCAATCAGATTTAAGCTTAAATCAAGAACCAAGCCTCTTAATTTGAGCGGATTTCCTTTTGATTTAAGCTTAAATCTGATTGAATCAAGAGTCCTTTTTCCTGTCAATGTTTTCAAGAGTCTAGACTCTAGATCCAATGTGTTTTTTTTTCCAGTGTATAATCCCCATGCATTCTTACCGCCCGAGCACTAACGAGCACAGCCAATCTTGCCCACCCGCAAATAGTTTTTTTTGGTAGAAATACGTCCAATTATATGAATAAAAACCGAAAAGAAGAAAAAATATAACGTCAGAGATGAAGATACATAGGACTAACCCCTCCGCATCGATACCTGATGGGCGTCACTGAAAGACGCCTTTCTACTGCGTCCAAGCTCACGCATACAAGCGTAAAATAACGAGAGATCTGAAGCACAGAGCAAGATGTTCGGTCTCCATATCTTTCCAATGTTGCCGACGCAAAGTTCATTTGCATTGAACGCTTGCGATGCGCGCAAGTTGCACGCATATCACGAGTGGCGCAGAGACACATTGTTCCGTTCGGTAATCGCGCTCATGGCGGGATTTCTACGACTAATGGGCGAACAGATAAAAACGGCCAGCATTACAGTAGATAGACCTGAGGGTCCAGGCATCTTGCCATGCGTTGGCCAACAGACGCAGTGTCATTATACGCATCACTTATGATAGTTAGAAGGAGTTAATTGAGATACTAGGCAAAGCGTTTTACACTAACTAATATTTCCCCTTGTTATCTTTTTAACACACAGAAACGGAGCAAAATAAGAGAATAAAGCATCAGAGGAAATTGGAACATCTCATGTACCTAGTTAAGTTTGGCTTGTTCCAGTTAATGTTTTAACGAGTTAAGAAATGCTTGATACGAAAAGAAACATTAGGAACTCTCTTGTCACCCCATCCTCAAAAAAAAAAAAAAAAAAAAAAAAAAAAAAAAAAAAAAAAAATGACAAGTAATCGCGACAGGTTCGAGAATCAAGTTATCACCCAAAGGTTTTAGGAATGGTTTGGAATGCTAATCATAAGAATTCTTTGCGTTCTGTTTCTGATCGGCTATGTAGTGGTGGAGACGTATAAAATATCCTTTTATCAAAACCTACCCTGCAGAATGTTATAGCACCTTATGTTATTCACTGATGGTATATTTCTTGGAGACTTTAACGCAGCGATAAGAAAGTAGAAGCTCACCATAATTATTGATTCGCCACACTGTTGTACACTGTACACATAATTGAAATAAAAAAGTGACATAAATGTAAAGAAGCGTAGTAAGGGCTACGGAAAGGCATTGCTTAACTGACAATTTTGGCGGAAATGAGATAGCAACCTTGCCGCATCCTATATGCAGTAAAATAATGCGCGGCGAGTTGATGTTTCAGTTTTTTTCCAATTTTGCATTAACGCGCTTAATGACGCTGTAATGTATAAAGAAATTGCATACATCTAACTTCAAAGTAACAAAGATGCGAAGTTTCTTTTTCTCCCTACGAACTTTTCAGTTTACAGGTGGGCGGCATTTTTTCCTTATCATTGATATTTAAGTGTCTTAAATTTTTAAAAAAACAATTCATTTCAGAGTTGACGCTTGAATCAGATCTCGGCAACTTTCCTGAGTTTACGTTTCGTTCAATGAGTCAGTTGCACTGATCACAGAATCGTGTTTTGATGCTTGATTCTTGTAGATCAGTGAAAGATAATAAGATCCGTCCTAACAGCAACTTTATAAGTTCAATATTGACCGAAATATCGAGCTTTGAAAAATTCGGTTTTGACGTCATCCAACCTTGACACCCAGTGACACTCTTGGTTTCTTCCACCCTGTTTTCATCCGGGTTTCACGCTCAGTAACCACTACAAAGGTGTGTATCACTGATCGATGAAAGCAAGAAGGAAGAAACCAGCGGTGTCATTACCGCGGTGGATGACGTCATACATCGAATTGTTCCATGCGGGATACCTCCGGTAAATATTGAACGAAGAGAAATACTGTTTGGACAGATCCTATTATTTTCGGCTAATTCACAAGAATCAATCACCAAAACACGACTTTGTGACCAGCACAACTGATCTATCAAATAGATGGGAGCTTGCATGGAGAAAATGAAGTAAAAGCAAAATATGAGTTTGATGGACCGTTGGACTAAAATGCGTTTATGGTTCAGGGGACACAACCCTCAGCTGAGCGAATCAACTTCTTTCGTTTTCAGAACCAAACTTCATTTCGGTGAACTGGGGGCTTAGTTTTATGATCTGAAGGTCAGTTCAATGGGCTAATAGACTTAAGTTCTAACGGGACATGTTGCGTATTCACCACGAATCAAAACACAATTCTGAGACCTGCGCAGCTGACCCATTCTGCTGTGCTAAGCAGTGGCGTGGTGTGAATGATCGATTATCGATATCTCGCCATTTGAAGCTATGGTAAAGAATCGATTAATAAGGTGTTCGCTGCGAACACCCTGATAATCGATCTTTTTTCATAGGTTTGGTGCGTATCAATCGATATATCGCAAAGCACGCCACGCCACTGGTGCTAAGGAAAAACGCCGTATGAACATTCGAGAGTTGCCAAGTTTCCCCATATTGAACATGTATTCATGACGAAATTTATGAATATTTTTCCTTGAAATTTTCATACATCTTTGATTAAATTGCAAAGAACATAGTCTGAAAATTGGAAGAAACAAATTTACCATCTACCCGATAAATTCGTATTTTATGAGAAGAAATATGGCAACGCCTGAAGGTTCATACGGCGTTTCTCCGTAGCATGTCAGCATTGAGTCTTGTAGTGGAATTTCAAAGAAAACTCAATTTAAAAATACGGTCCTTACTGCTCCCTTTCGGTAACACGGCCGTGTTGGGCGCGGTGCGGGCAGTGTGTTCAATTGATGTCAACGTAAACGGTTGCGTTGCAGCTTATGTGCGAGAAGTTACGCGAGTACACGCCGGTACATTACCGCCCTAAACGAGAACCGCCTACCTCCAATTAAGACCCAATGCATATATGCTGTTTTTACCTAGCGAGGCTGTATATCGGCCAATAAAAAAACGGCCGCCGACTCCCCACCCCCTCCCACTCTTCCCCGCGCCACCCGCACCGAAGCTCCAGCGCGCTTTGCTCCAGATTAGATTTGACTTCCTCAAACGAGGCTTGCGGTCGAGTGGGCGTATGAGCATATTAAGTTGATTTAAACGATTTTAAAACCTGATAAGTTCATTTTTAAATGGGCCCTGAGCTCCATAAGAATGCATGTATTACAGGTTCCATCAGATTTTGGACATGTTTCGTTTTAACATCTCCCGATTCAAATGCGTGTTGGAAGTATCGGCTGTAGGTTGGACTGACGCAAGTTTAGCTGATAAAAGTGGCCTCCGGCCGCTATCTCTCCAAAAACTTAGAAAAGGGGAGGGCGAAAGTTGGGAGAAAGTAAAAGCACTCGAGAGAAGGGGGGTTAAACTTTAAAAAATCTTGAACAATAGACTTAAATCGAGTGAAATTAGGCTGGTTCAATGAAGACAATTGGTTTAAAAAACCGTCTTTCAAATAAGAATGTTGAGCTGAAATTTCCGCCACGGCCAAACGTAAAATTAAAATTTACGAATAGATACCAACAACCTACATGTCTATTGAAAATACCCCTATATTAATCATACATTAGAAGTAACTGAGGTCCTTGGTTTTACAGACTTTAAACGATTTCAGCATGCTATAGAGGTAAGTAATGCTAATATTCTGACTACATTTTTTTATCGAGCTTTGGATTTATTTTGACATTTGTTTCATTTGCTCTGAAAAACCCATATATACCTTTATTGTCCTAGGGACGGAGTGGCATTTTTAATTGCCTCCGTTGCAAAATTGACGAAAAAAACTTACTTAAAAAGAAAATATGTATTAGGATAAACCAAGTGGTAAAAAGAGATAATACAATGAGTGGTGAAAAGGCGTAGGCAGAGAGAGAGAGAGAGAAAAAAACAGAGAAAAAACACATACATATGGTGAGAGTTAAATCGACTGGCTGTAGTTAACGCCCAATTGGATTAATGAAAACTTCAAGCAGTAAACGCATGCTAGATCTAAGCTGTCAAGGTCAAGTAAAAGAATCCGTCATGGTTTGAAAGGAAAAATCTTCCTAAATCCTTAGCGATTAAAAAGCGTCATGCACGCCAAGTTTCTGTCCGCCCTTTTTTATCTCATTCTTTCAATTCGAGTAACAAGGTAGGTAGTGTGAAGATCAGCTTCGCACCTTTTTCTCTAGGCAGATCCATTGAAAAATCAATTTTGTAGTGATCATAAACGAAAATTATTGGCAATAAAAAGTAAAACCATAAAATCCGAATCGAAAAAAGCTGAATTTGAAGGAGACATTCCTATAATTTTCTGTTATTTTATCTACAACATTTAAATCAATATTTTTCAAAAATTCTTG